TCTTTAATTTTATTACGCCCCGCGGTCCAGAAAGGACTTACTATTGTTCAAATAGGCGTGGAAAGTAGTCGTAGGGTTGGAATATAAAGGATCCCTTTATATTCTATAGAATTGTGGTATGAGTACGTCCCTTTAAAAGGGATATACTCATACCACATTTCTTGCAATTCAGGTCCATTCGACAGTACCAATGAGTACAACTACCAATTCATGAAGGCGAACGTAGACCTTGTCAAGATAGTACAAATATGTTTCTCCTTTGCCGATACCCACGGGAACTGTGCTTCTCATCCAAATCTAGGCCCGGCAAGTTGCTGTTGGAAACTAAACTTCAAATTCAACTTGCTCACTGATCTCTACGCTGCTGATAGGGTTAAAGTATTGGGCAGTTCAGCTGAAGTTGGGGGTGCCGGAGTTGACTTCGCATCTGCCGTGCATAGGGGCATTGAACACGAGGTCTTTGGGGAGTTCCTTATGGCCAGTGGAATCGTTTTATCTGAGGATGTTGTCTGGCTGGTCAACTCTGGTGGTATCGCTTCCGCGTCCTTGCTTAAAGTCCTCACTGGAAAGCCCCTACCAAAGCACCCCAGACAGTTCTGTGAACTTGTGGCTGAGTATTTTCCAAGATTGTACGACACCAAGTTGATGGTTAGAAAGTCTGTTGTGACAGGACTCGACTATTTCACGTATGACCAGAGTGCCACGGTACGTATAATCGACGCACTTTTTGGTAATCTCAACAAGTCCGTAGATGAGGATTGTTCGACGAGTAGTGGTAGTAGGAATAGTGACAGTGTTGTTGCTCCGTCCAGTGTCGGGTGCTCCAAGTCGCTATATCATAGCTCTATGTACAAGTGTGGTACTGTTAGTGTAGAGCACCCCCCGGGCTCCAGGACATGTATCGACAACTCGTTGCACTGCCGTCGGCGGCTCGAGGCTGCCTTGCTAATGGCAACCCCATCTCCCAAGAATAGTCCTCCCATCGATAGAGGTGTGATCCTTGGTGCTCCCCCCAAGCCGAGATGTGCCCCAGCGGGCCCTCCTCCTCCTCCCCCACCGCCGCCGCCTCCTATGCCGCCCGTGAGCTGTCGAGGTCCCCCACCACCGATCCCACCGCCCCTGCCCCCAATAGAATGTCGATATCATCAGCCTACAGCGGGTCCTAGTGGGAAGTTGCTGCGTTATGAAGGTCCGTCTCCTCCTATACGAGTACACACCTCTCTGGGACGTGTCTAACTTGGACACTTCTATCGAGTGATATGTGAATCGGTCATATTTTTCCTCTGTATTACGCCGATGAAACCGTCAAGGTTTACTTACATAAAATATCAAAGTTGATTTTCTGTTGGTACTAAAGGCGCAATCATTTTGTCCTATCGTTTGAAGGTATCACAAGTTTACTTTAAACTGTTGAGGCGCTTATTGGGATATGGTGTTTGGTGGCAGCGCATTTATATCTATTCGAGACCCCGCCCGAATTGTGTTATTCTCCGTAATATTACTTCGATAGAGTCGTCCCCTGTAACATGCTGAATCGTTATTATCGTTTTATTTGCGTATTATATGCCGTTGTCGATTGTGATGGATTACAGATGGACAACAATATGATGTGATCGATTCACACTAATGCTTATTGGTTCGATACTACTATTACTAGAGTGTTCTACAACAATAGCAGCTTCCTTCGATACTACTATTACTAGAGCGTTCTACAACAATAGCAGCTTCCTTCGATACTACTATTACTAGAGCGTTCTACAACAATAGCAGCTTCCTTCGATACTAATATTACTAGAGCGTTCTACAACGATAGCAGCTTCCTTCGACACTACTATCGCTAGAGCGTTCTACAACAATAGCAGCCTCCATGCCTCCGACTACAGCTTCCGCATCGTAGAATTGCTACTATGTGCATTATACGTAGTTTTATTTCGTGCTATTCGTGACAACTACGTCGGGTACTACGAATTGTATTCTTATCCCATAGTAGTTGCTGCATTGTCAACTTTCCCTGTCACCCGTTACAGTTGATGGCGTTGCTATTTTTTCACAGTGTGACTATTACCTCCATGGTTTTCTATAACACTACCTTCCTGTTGTTTATGATTGCTCTATTCTGCGTTATATTTTGTCCGCGCTGTAGAAATCATTATCTACCATATTGCTGTCCTAGCATTAGTATGTTCGTATTACACCACTCATTCTGATTTCCCTCGCCCCCGTTACGATTTCAACAAATCCAGCAACGGTCCGAGGCAGATCGCATGCTGATTCAATACTACTATTTTATTAGATATGAATACATCTTTATCAGGATCATAGTGAAGGATGTAGACTCGGTATATCCCTCGCTGTAATGGATCCCATGTTTTTGCTCCGTTGCTGTAT